GTTTTACTGGGTTTTTGGCCAAACGAACACGATTTGGTAACAATGGGTATCAACTTGTACAAGTTTTTTTCATAGCGAGGCCCAAACCCTCCCAGTTAAGGATCATAACATCATTCCTGTTGGGTGCTACCTGCAGCTACTTCCCTGAAGCCGCTCTTCTTCCCATGCATACCAGAAGCTATGTATCTAGTGAACCTCAGGGACCAGGTTCATATATACGTATGTTATACCCCGACCAGAGGGACTAGAGGAAAGTCAATTAAGTCTCGGAATCTCGCCGAGAGACTCGCGATATCTTGACACAATTTTGTTCATATCTATCCTGCATAGTTGTCCGATCACATTGTGCCCTTAAAGGCGTCACATTTTTTCCCTGCAGCAACGGGAAATTCCTGGAGGTAGTAATTTTTTGTTTCGCATTCGTTGAAATCCAATTACTTCTTCAACGCATACAGCTGCTTGGGCACATTGTGTGGTTCCACTGCTCGCTAATGTCGGTTTGTTTAAGAGTGTTTCCGAGCGAATATTTAGTTGGGAAAGTCGATTACCGAAGATGCTGATATTGTCTGTTGAGATTGCAGCCTTTCGATGTTTGTATCTCGGATCGTACGGAGGGCTAAAACACTGAAAACGTGATTTTTGATGTGGAGCATCAATACACGCTTTTATATCCTTTTATTCTAGAACCGCTATTCTACCGCTGCCAACTACCAAGTTTCGGGCTGCGGGGAAATAGATTATCGGGGGTTTTTTCATCATATCATGGAATATTTACAGGAGTGGTCATCATTACCTAGCGTCGAAGGTCTCGCTAGCATTACAAGTTTAACACCGTGCTCTACAATGTCCAACAAAATCCCAAAGCCCAATTATTGAATTATCATACAAAAATTCTCGAAACGACGTTATTTAAATTTTTATTAAATTTTTATTTTATTTATTATATTTACTAAACATAACACTATAATACAAATTTATTATTACATTTCATAAATTACATTACAAATTTCGAAAATTTTACCAATTTCGAAAAACATAATATTCTTTCGAACGTGTAAGCAAGACAGCGATATTGAGGATAGGCAAGGTATATAATTAGAGTTAAAAAAGGAGAGAAGAGGTTAAAAGAAAAAAAAATTGATACATATTAACGAATTAGCACAGCAAAAGTAAAGCTGAAATTTAGTTTATCGTTTTAATGTTTATCACAGTTTTGTATATACAAACAGGATGCGTTCAATAAATTTATAAACGAAGAAGTAGAATTACCAAGATTGAAGCATGGGGGCATAGAAGTGANAAAATAATTTCTTGAAACGGCAGTTTGTATTGGCAGTAAAGGTATTATAAAAATAATTATTTTATATTCACTACAAACTAAAAGCAAGGGACTTAAAAGTTAACACGTTCGAATGAAGCAATTTCCTTTCGTTTATATATATATATATATATTATTTAGCAGAAAAAAAACTATGCAAATTCGTTAACAATTTAAATTTGTTTTTGTAATTTGCCTCGATGTGCGTTTTGTTTAAATTAAATTTTTTGAGTATTTTTTTTTTTTTTTTGTTCGTAAATGCTCTAAATTTTCCACATTAACTTCTTGAAAGTGTGTATAGTAATTTTTTTTTAGTTTTAGTTTTAGATTGGCAGTTTCAGTTAAGCATTCTCAAAAATTTGAAAATTAACAACTACTCACTAAATAGCAAATACATATGTATATGTATGTAGGTATAGGTAAGAGCAAGAACAAAAATGCATTAACAAATTTTTCATAAATTTTAAAAATTTTTTTTTTACTTTCACTTTTGTGCAAAATTCGCGCCTTTTGTTCTAAGTTAGTAAATATTTCATAACAGCAAAGCAATTTAAGAATGTATGTAGTTATTAGGCAGGCGCTTCTGTCGGCGCGTGGCAACCCTCCACATTTTCGGGCCAATCGCAGACATTTTCTTGTGGATTGAAAACTAAGTTGGCAGGACATGGCATATGATGTTTGCGTTCACCTTCACACATGTAGTAGTGAGTGCAGTCACTCCAATCTTTGTGATAGCTAATGTGACCATCTTCCTCCTCGCAGGTGACTTCGTGAGCTAGAGCGTACAGAAAGCCATTAATTAATTAATTACCCCACTTACACTTTTAAACAATTTCACTTACGATCTTTTGTGGTGTAGGCGCCGCGTGGCCCATGCGACTCATAGGGACCGTCATACTCCAATTCCACTTTATATTCTTTCAATTCGTCACTCAAGGCATTCAAAAGCGGATACTTGCCTGCGCCGCAGCGGCCAGAGAAGTCATCCATATCGGTAGACCAAACCATAATGCCACCGAAACCTTGTTCCTTCAGCCACTCCATCTG